GCAGGCGGCCGGCGCGGACGTCTCGTACGGCGCGCTCAACGCCATGGCGCGCGGCTACGCCAAGGTGGGCCGCTTCGACAAGACGGTGGAGACGCTCCACCTGCTGCGCGACAGAAACTGGGTGCCGGACGCCGCCACCGCGCTGTCGCTGTCGAGCGCATTCCTCAAGGCCGGTCTCCACGAGCAGGCGCAGCAGATCGTGCAGTGGAGGCGGCAGTACGCCAAGCACGCGGGGGAGGAGGCGCCGACCGCGGCGGATATTTAGGACTGCGTGCATGGCGCCGCGTGCCTTCCCTTGCTCTCCGTGCGTAGGGTGCGTTCTCTGCGCGCATGCGGCGCAAAGACTGAAGGAGCGGTAGAGAGTGAGGGAGGGAGAGAGACGACTGCGCGGGGCTATCACCTGCAGATGCTGGGCAAAGCGCTCAGACGCAAACAAAAAAAAGGATAGAACAGAAAGAAACTGCGGAAGCGGGGGATGCGGCACGTGAGGCCGCGCCGCGGCGAAGTCTTTAGCGGCCGGCAAGTAGCTACGCACACAGCGGTAGACACAGATGGATTAATATTTGTCTCGGCGCCTGCACAGACGGTGCATTTCTCAAGTAGGAGAAGATGGCATGTGCTGCCTTTGCCTTCAGCTGTGCTTCTTTCCGTTTTCTTTTTTTTTCACGCTCTCTGGCAGCAGCAGCAGCAGCAGAGCCGTTGCCTCAATTTGTGCGTTTCTCTCTCCCACGTCTTCGTCGCCGCGCCCACAAGAAGGATTCCTTATCGCAAGACTGAGCCACGCCGATGCAGGCACACACGCACCGCGCGAGGCGCCACGCTCTTCCTCGTGCCGGGGCGCTGCTGCTGCTGCTGCTGCCCCTACTGCTGTGCACGGGCGGCTGTGTTGCGCTCCCAGAGCGGGCCCCCGCGCGATCGGACCCCTTCGCAGCAGGCGAAGCGGGTCGTGGGGCGTGTGCGTGAGGTGCCGGCCCAAGGACAGGGCGCGTGGCAGACGTACACGGCCGCTGCAGCCCATGAGGCCTGGACGCCGATTCGCATCCGCGTCTCCGCGGAGGACCTGAAGGACACGTCGAAGTACCTCTGCACGCAGGAAAAGCAGCTGCGCCATACCTTCAAAAAAGACAACTTGCAGGTTTCATGCAAGGCTGAGGACGTCGTCACGCGCGAGAGGAGTGCGCTCCTGGAGAATACGATCCTCCCAAAGGCCATCCAGCTTCACGCCGAACGCCTTCGCGTGAAGCGGACGGCGGGGAATCTAAAGATTGGGCCTTTCGCAGATACCCACACATGCGCCAAGCTCACTGCTCCAGCTACGCACAGAGAGCAAGGCGTGCCTGACACCGACTTCTTGCTGTATATTGCAGCGGCACCGGGCTTCACGTTCGCTGGGACGTGCTCGCGGGNCAAGGCGTGCCTGACACCGACTTCTTGCTGTATATTGCAGCGGCACCGGGCTTCACGTTCGCTGGGACGTGCTCGCGGGTTCTGACAGAGAAGATACCCTGCGTATATGGGCGGCCGACGTCTGGCGCGCTGAACTTCAAGCCGCCACACATCGTTGACGCGCGGTACAACGTCCGAGCTGCGGCCCACGAGATCGCACACGCCCTCGGCTTCAGCTATGGCACAATGGGGCCCGCCGCCGCCGATATCATTGGCACGAAAAGAGTAAGACTGCGTCCTACAAGATACTTTGTGAAGTCCCCCAATACAAAGAGGGTGGCGCAGGAGCACTACGGCTGTGAATCACTTCAGCGTGTCGCGCTCGACGACCAGGCGTATCCACTCCACTGGTCGCGGCGCAACGCGAAGGACGAGCTGATGAGTGCACCCATCGATGCCACCAGCGCTGCGTATTACACGGCCCTGACGATGGCGGTATTTGCCGAC